AAGAAGCAGAGGCTGGGACGAGTTGAAGCTCAGTCCAAGTCAATCTAAGGACTGGTGAGCCACATTTCAGGCAGATTGCTCATTCGTGAGAACTGTGGAAGCGCTGCTGAAGCGCTTGTGCACTATCTGAGAGTAGCATGTGCGCGAGAGCCCTGCTGGGCAGCACTGCACTGAGAGGGATGGCGGCCATAGCCCAATAGCTAATGAAAGGAGGTAGAGCTGAGTAGCAGCGGATGTATTCAGAGTCAAGTTCCACAACTAGAGAGAGAGGGAGAGAGAGCACATGCATAAAGAAGACCAGAAGGGACTGCGTGTGTGTGTGTGTGAGTGTTCTTATGGCTTTTAAAGTTTGCCATTAGGTATGGAATCTTGTCAGGTCCCATAGGGTAGTTCAGCGTATTATCCTTCTTCAAGATGCTAACCATCTCCTCCGATCTAGGCTCAAGCAATTCGAAGTCGGGTCCGGTTAGTCTCTCAAGCGCTAGCTGCCTCACAAGATCCTTACATATGATCACCGGGGTATTCACCGCTTTGTCCATGCATGCAACCAAAAAGTACTTAGTTATATACGATATCTCATGCGAGAGACAGTGCTCACTGAGATCAGTGAATCCTACTCCACTATGCTTCCTCCTATACTCCGCAAATCTACTGAAACAGTGCCGCTTTATTGTAGTTCTAACCTTACTTAACATCTCCTCCTGGAGATCATACTCCTTGTTATATAGTGTCATTGTCTCATCAAAATCTTTCAGGACCTCCCTGACAGCTATCTCAATATCCAACCTAGCACTAAGGATGTGATTAAGGCCAGACTGCAGGATCATTCTGAGCTGGGGTAGTCGGGAGATGGTGTAGTCCGTAGTGATTATGTGTGGTCCCAAAGCTCCTCCAATCTTCCCTGAGATAAGCAGTTCCTTAGTGGCAGGGTTGGTAAATCGAGCATACCTACCATTACAAGCACAACCGCCCTTGCTATTTTCCCATCGATCTATATTGAAATCCCGAAATACTTCTGCAGGCTTGTAGAGTATCCCAGAGACTGGTTCGTTGTAAAACCAGCCAAAAGTGACAGTCTCCATCCACTCCGCGAAGTGCTGTCCAACAGCCACTGTCATCAAGGAGATGATCAGTGCTCTGACCGAGACTGCCTCCATCAACCTACTCACATACCTCATATGTACAAATCTTCTGCGTGGCTTGTCTCCCATTTTACACCACTTCCGTCTACCTGAGAGACCCATCTCGATTCGACCCGCAAATACCTGCAGCACAGGCAGGAAGGAAGAAGGAAGAAATTCACAATGGTTTCGGATCCAAGTCAATCTTCCTTAGTTGTACCTATACTACAGAGAAGGTTGGAAAGTGAGGCAGAAGGGGAGGGTGTTTATATGTAGTTGTACGTACGGAAACTAGGGGAAGGGGGTATGATGTATGTATAGTGAGGGTGCGTATGAGAGAGACTGCCCGGCGAAGCCAGGGAGGGGGGAAGGGAGAAAAGAGACGAGAGAAGGGAGAAGGGAAAAGGGAGAGAGAGAGAGAGAGAGAGAGAGAGAGAGAGAGAGAGAGAGAGAGAGAGAGAGAGAGAGAGAGAGAGAGAGAGAGAGAGNAGAGAGAGAGAGAGAGAGAGAGAGAGAGAGAGAGAGAGAGAGAGAGAGAGAGAGAGAGAGAGAGAGAGAGAGAGAGAGAGAGAGAAGGGGAGGGGAGAGGGGGCGAGAGAGAGAGCTCCATCTACGAAAAGAAGGGGAAGGAAGAGTATATGTATCAGGTTACTGGGGGAAGCAATCCGTCCCCTTTCTTCTTCCTTCGTTTTTTCCATCGATCAAGCTGCGCTGCTGCAGTGTGCAACTACCTCCGGATGGACACCTGCACCTTCCCCCATCATCTCGCCACCTTTCGCATATGCTATACTCGAACCAGTCAGTACCAGCCTTCCTTCCGTATGTGGTCCACATGGTCTTGGTTCCGCAAACAGAGCTTCCCCGTTGCTCGAGATCCTTGCCCAATAGTCCGAGTCCGGGCCAAATAGGCCGCCGAATCCATAGAAGCAGTCACCTCCAAAATCTCCACCATGGTCCAACGTAGCAGCAATTGATGAGGCTATCTCCCCCATAGCCGTCATCATCGCAGTCCAGTCTGTTTACCAGGGAATGCGTCCTCCCCAGAGACCCCCCTCAACCTCACATCACAGCTGATCTTCCCTTCCTCCGTTCTGGTGCCGAAGCCGCGTAATTCTCCGATCGCCACTCCTTTGAATTCCACAGTAAGTACAACCCCAGTGATGGTCGTGATCTGAGGTTGCGCAGTTAGGATATCCACTATTGCAAAATTGTCAATGGGTACAGCAGGTTACAAGGTGCTCCTTTGGGCCTCCCAGATGTGAGGCTTGACGATCCTGATTGTGGTAGGACCTGCTGGTGGCCATGGCAGGAAGATATCAGGATCCAGCTCCACCCTAAGAACTTCTGGAATGCGCCTGCCACTCTCCAACGCCATGGTGCCCAGAGAATGGATAGTCGTAAGCAGTACCTGGATCAATTCAACAGCCTGCAGTCCTCCACCCGTTACCGATTCGTTGTAGTCCCTACCTCAGACCTGCATCCATGTGTAAGTATCATTAGTTCTCAAGTAGTCAAGGTCACGATGTAGCAAAGGCCGAGTGCAAAGATGGAGAGAGAGTGGAGGGTTCTAGTTAAGAGCAGATTCTAGTTAAGAGCAGATTGTTTCTCTTCAGCTCCGCAATCCTCCTTCTCAGTCGACCCCTTTGCATATCCCATGCATCTGCATCTGCAAGCAGGACTGCCCTGTGGGTGCACCAAAGGTTACTGAAGTCTCTGATAACAGCGTCATGGTTGGTACTTAGTCTGCGCAAGATGAAGTTGGTCCATAGACGTGCTCCTGAGTCAGGCTGGGTGATACCAACGAGTTCCTCCCCTCCCTCCCTCACGATGGTGACGACGATCTGGTTGCTCCTTTCGATAAGGACATCGCATGCGTTTCGCAGTTCTCTTTCAGACGCGGCTAGGCGGCGAGCATGCCTCCAAATCGTATCTCCGGTTGTATCCCTGTTTCCTGCAATCTGTTCAGAGGGGTAGGGAGAATAAAGAGGGAAAAGGGCTGGAGTAGGAGACAAGGAGATGGAAGAGGGAAGGAGGAAGGAGGGAAGGGAGGAAGGCGGGAAGGAGAGGAGGGAAGGAGGGGAGGAGAGGAGGGGAGGGGAGGGGAGGGAAGGGAAGGGAAATCAGAGGAGGGGAAGTGGGCGGGAAACCACCATATATATATATAAATGCATCCATATATATATGTATACATATCTCTGCCCATATATACGTATACATGTGTGAGAATGCACATATATTGTCACATCACTACAAACTAATATATATACACTTTGATACCCCAGGGGTGAGATATTCCTGTATATATATATCTATGTATGCATGTACGTAGAAGGAAGGGGCAGGCGGGGATCGTCAAGATTCTCTACGCTGTGCTCTTGCGCTTCCTGGATGAGCCGCCTATCGTGGTGGCGCTGTCGGGGTGGTCATTGATGATGACCGCAGACTGTTGGCTGCTGGTCGCACTAGCAGGGCTCGAGGAGGATACCCCTAGAGGAGTCGCTGCAACCCTGAATGAGTTCAGCAAGGTTTGCTGCCGTGGAGACATCGAACAGACCCTTTTGTTCCTTGCGCTGGCAGGGGATCTGTTCTTCCTTTTCCTCAAATTTGGCAGTTCCGGGACAGGGAGCCCGAGGGTGATCCGTGTAGGGAGGATCAAGTTGGCCAAGATCCTTGGGCAAGCATGTGTTTTGAACGTGCTGCCCGCAAGGGCATCGGCCGTCATGAGCTCCGGGTTGCGTTCGAGATTGCGTAAGACGGCGAGCATCATTTCCCTCATCCAGATGAAGGCGACCGAGGCTTTCGCAAGTTCTCTCCAGGAGTTGCGCAAATGGTGAAGGAGGAACGCTATCCTGAACCGATTCGAGCCAGCCTCAGGTTTTACGATTTTTGGCTTCGCCATCAGGTACTAGATAGCCTGATCAAACCAGATGGGCCCACCATTACAAGTACGGGAGTTCCTATACCCGCATCTGCATTTCAGATACGGGCGACCCGCGTTCCACACCCTGCGGAGGTTTCGCATATCTAGACCGAGGGATGATGGGATCATCTTTTGCATGACCACAGGGTTAGCAAACACACACTTGGTGGGATCAAGCATACTCAGGGTAGGGAAGGTAAGCTTACCACCAAAGTGCGGGGCAGTGTTGGCATAGTCCAGTGTTCCTGCAAGTGCCTTCCTTCGACATTCCTCGATCTCACTTTTAGATAGGTCGGCTAGGAACTTCCACCCCTTGATATTAATCAGGGCAAGATCATTGAACCCACCCCCTACCCACCCCCTATCCTGTTGTCGCCTCACCTTCCCCTCAAGCCATTGTGCCGAGCCAATCGGAACAAATCCGTTCCTCCTGCTTCGTCCCGCTTCGTCCCCTTCCCCTTCCCCCTTTGGGGGAGGAGGGGGTGGGGGTTGGTTGTCGAGGAGTTGCCTGAGCTCCTCCTCTTCCTCCCCCATTATTCCCATGAGCGCAGGATCGTACCCATCCCTATCCACCCTTGCATCATCCACCTCGAGATCCTTCCCTACTTCCCAGATCCTTTTGAGGGTCTCCTCCAACTTAGTGGTCCTATCCAGTATCCCTTCACTCTCCTTGGTCATGTTCCTTCTCTTCTCCTCCGCTTTGGCTATATGGCCATTCAAGATGAGGTCTACCCGGTGCCTCTCGTGTTCATAACACCAGGCGAGGTCAGCCCAATCATTGAAGAGGAGGGTTTCCGTGATAAGAGCAAACTGTCCTTCCGTGACCTTCTGACCGATCAAGGCGGTCACCGAGGGGTGGATAACGTTAATAAGGGATTGGGTAGGCTTGGAGTATGGTTCTAAGTCCACAAGGAAGGGGTTCCTGTCAATAGTCTCAGCCCACCACCCGCCTGCCACGTTGCTATCATACTAGGGTTCCTACTCAAGATCCGGCCCATAATGTAGATCCAGCATGAAGAGGAGAGGTCAAGGAGGGGAAAGAGCAGGGGAAGGGAAAGGGAGAGTTTCACAAGAGGTTATCATCAGGTATTGGTATAGTATAGTGGTGGATGATCCATCATAAGAAACCGATTCGTATGGACACCATCACAACAACAGAAGCACAAAGTGCAGTAAATACATCATTCCCTAATGCATCCATAGGCAAAATTCCGAGCAATCGGGTGGGCTTACTACAGTATTAATATTGGTCTGATCCGGCTCCAAGGCGCAGCCATGGGAGTCAACCCGTCTGCAGTAACTAGAGGGGTGACCCTCCATGTATGTGTCATCGATAATCCCATGACGTTTCCGTCATGCACTCCACCAACCGTGGTGGTACGCCAGGTCCGGTCATGTACCAATTATACCGTTTCCATAGCCACCAAACTCAATGTACCTCAATGCAGAAATGACAGGATGGCAACAGCGCCCACACGAATAGGTATCTCTATGTAAGCAAAGCACACCGAATTCCTGAGTAAGATAATCAGGGGTTTGATCAAGAACCAGGGAGTTAGGCAGGGTATCAATCAGAAATCATAGTCCATCCATGATGTGGAGGAGGAAGCTGATTGGTACCCTGCACAACTCGGACATTCAGGAACCCAACAGATCACAACATCTATTTCATGACCAAAGCTGCATCCAGGGTTAACATCTCCAATAGGCAGGGATCTCATCCATCGACGGTAAGAATTAGAGCCTAAAAAACCATTTAGGGGTGGAAAAATCAGCCAGATTAACAACAAAGTTGTATCGTCAGAGGGCCAGTTCATTGGGTAGGGTTTCCATCAGCCAGTGGTAAAAAACAGAGCACGGTAGAGACGCAACTGGGAGTAACAGAATAATCATCGGGAAGAGGACAAGCCAAATCAAGATGCTATTCATTCATAATAAATCAAGGGAAGGGGGATGGCTACATTTGCAGGGTGGAGGAGCGGGATAATCAGAAATCAAGTGAGGCAATACAGGGTCGGGATTTGACAAGTGAGCTCAGGACGATGCCGAAAAAAAGAAAAAATAGAGAAAAACGAAAAACAGAAACAAGAAAAAAGAAAAGGAAAAACAGAAAGAAAAGAAAGAAGAACAAAAGGGGAAGATATATAACAACCGAATCCAAAGGTGCTCATTCATCCATGGTTGCAATAAATAGTCGTAGCTATATATCCGGTAGTTACATCGATCACTCAATCAATTCAAAAACCAGTTGCCTAGAACACGAAATAGTGAGATCCCGCTCAACAGATCGTCTCGGAACAATATACTTGGGGGCCCGGTCGAACTTTATGGGTAAACCATTGCCGCAGGAGGGGTGTGGCTCCCCTAAAAGCTTTTTCGCCGTTGCCACTCAACGGGCTCATCAGAGGGGTTAAACACCTTCAAAACAGCCACATCCATACACTGTCTAACCAGACAGCCATACCCCATTCACACACGCATAGAGAGGAGAATAAGGACCGTATACCACTTCTTCCGCCGCGATCTCCTCCTCAGGTTCCGACGTAAATGGAAGGTCCTCCTCCGCTCCCGTCGTGAACTCCCAGTCCGCCATAGTCGAAGCCACCGTTAGCTTTCAAAGGCACTGATCCTCAGTAATTACACTTAGGGAGCCAATCCAACATGCACAAGACTCACCCAGAAGTCCTACTTAGGTCAGTAGCACAATCGACGCGCGTTACATTCGGGAATAGCGCTACTATATATACACGTGGTAGTATAAAAATCGTACAAAAAAGTAGAGATAAAAATTGAAAAGACAAAACAAAAGGAAATGGGAGGGAACGGACAAGGCTGCGAAGAGACAGGTGCGCGCGGGAGTACCCAATCATTCCCTTTTCCGATAGAATCCATAATGTTGGCGCGTACTGTTTGAGCAAAATTTCCAAAATTCCAAGGGAACCTAGACCTACCCTTGTCCGCCTACGTTCTGGAGACTGCCGAGGAGTTCCCGGAATCCAGGGGAAATTATCTTTTTTCCCAGTGGTGCAGATATCGTATAGTGCCCGGTAGCATCCACTATCCTAATGGAACACCAAATTGTACACAGTCAACTAATTGCTAGTCATCTGGGGATACCGATGGGTGGGCCTATGGGTACCTGTCCTTACGCCTATCCGGTGTCGTTTCGTGCCGGGTGGCGCCCACTATCCTAGTGGAGGACAGTTTCATGTACGGACAACAGTCCGGGAGATACCGACTGGCGGGGTTGTGGGTTCGGGCCTATATGATCCATATGACCCAGGCTCGAGGCTCAGCGACAGACATCCAGTTAACCGGGCTACTTTTGTTATTCATACTTTCAGGGATCCCTCTTTCCCGAAATCATCATGTAGGCCCACTTACCTGGGTTTTAAGTATGTCGGGGGGCTGAACCATCCACCGCTGGGCCTGCTGTGCATTCTCCTCTCTTTCGGGGGTTATCCTTTCCAAAACCTGTGTATGTGTGTGTGTGTGTGTGTGTGTGTGTGTGTGTGTGTGTGTGTGTGTGTGTGTGTGTGTGTGTGTGTGTGTGTGAGAGAGAGAGAGAGA